GTCCGGAGCGTCTTGACAAGCGATCCGGGATGGTGTCAGTCTACATATGGAAAGACCTGAGTGCCTTTTCATCTTATTTTGATATATGTACGCAATATGGTCTTTTTTGAACCGAACCTGTTTACCTATATAGTTCCCTAACCCTATTTGTTTAGCCACGCTAACCCTGAGTAAGGTTTGTGGGGTAGCGGGGGCTAGAGGGAGAGTGCACCCCCAAGTAGCCAAGATTAAATATCCCACCGTAGCCAAGATAGTAGATCCGCGTACTGCCGCATCGAATCGCCTCAGGGCTGAGACAGTGACTTTCGAGCCCCTCGGATAATGGCCGTCCCCGGGCAATATCACAACTCGAGAGGACTAGACCTACGGCAACGCAGTCACAGGTGTTCGTGTTCGGCCTCGACGCTTCGCCAGCACATGGTGTGAGAGGGTGCGAGGGAAAGAGAAGGCGCATCAATATATGTAGGCGAGGCTCATGTACCTTGCTTGCAGTCAAGGGCGTGGGGACAGCCACACCACTTCCGGGATTATAGATCTCGTCGACGGGTGTCTAGACCAAACGTGACGTACAGGCGGCTTATTTGTGCCCTACATGGTGCCAATAGCTCGGATTGCCAAAACTGCCCTCAGTTGGGGGGGATCGAGGTTTCCTTCCCTGTGTTGCGATGGCTCAGCATCATCGAGTAAAGGCTAATGTTAAATATGGCACGACCAATGATAGCCTACTAGACATCTGGCACTGATATACATGCAGTTAGGCCTAGCGAATGCCGCGCATGATGTCTCTGGCCGAGGGCCCTCCCGGCGGTCAGGACGACCAGGTGCTCCAGTCCGCGTTTCAGTGACGTCGAATCCCCCCATGCCTGCAAAGTCACTTAAATCGATAGTAGCAAGTCAGTATGCATGTGCCTTGCAGAGGCCTGTGGCGAGAGGATGATAGAAGAACCGCTGCTGTCGACAGAATGGCAGTCTGCAGAGGTGAGTGGTGCACACTGTCCAGAACGTCGTAGAGCACAGCAAGACGCAGCTGCGCTAGCGGTGATGTGTCACAATCTCTGCTATAGCGCTGAGGGATCAGTCGCCTTCAGTGAAGTCTCGCGGCCGCGGCTGGAGGTTATCGAAGGCATCCCGTCGCCCCGTCTGCAGTTGGATGCATGCCGACTTCAACTTGCTCACCCCATTCCATCCTGCTAGAGGCAGCTGAAGAACATGCACGGCAGCGTCCCCTCGCCGATGAGGGTGCCGCTGGCCTTGCATACTGCCATAAGAAGCAATGGTGGGAAAGGTTCACGCCATGATGCTTCAGCACTGACTATGAATCGACACTAGATAGTTTTCAGCTCGTGCTAGAGGAAACAATGGTTCATGAACATTTCGTATCCGAACAGAAGAGGGTGGGGAGGATTCTTTCTGGGGAGTCCTTACCACGCATCGAGGAGTCCAGCATGCCCAAGGCCGTCGAATACCTCACACAGACAGTCGATGGGCGGCCACCGCGCTGCATTCTCTCCTCCGACTATTTAAACGTCGAGGAGCCCCCAGCATATCTTGCTGTATTCACCCCAGCACTCAACAAGCTTCAGCTGACCTCAGAGACTTTCGCCAAATCAACATATCCACATCATGTATCTGGGAAACGTTTTCCTCTCTTTTCTGGCCCTTGGTGGCCTTGCTGCCGGAATCCCGAGTCCCAATGGCAACAACGTCCACGACATTGAAGCCAGGGACTTGGATGGTGGCCTGCACGACATCGACCCTCGCGCAGCCGACATGGACCTGGACAAGCGCACCTACAGAACATGCTGCCCCCACGGCACCTACCTGGACGACAAGTATAGCTGTGTCTGCAAAGACAAGGGCAAGATCTTTGACCCCAAGACGGGCACCTGTGCCTGTCCCGAGGGACTGAAGTGGGATGGCCGTCAGTGCCGAGCCAGATGTGGTCGGGAAGCTTATTACGACAACGGCCAGAAGGCCTGCGTGTGTAAGAAGAAGTGCCACGTCTTCGACACTGCCACCAAGAGCTGCGCCTGTCCTGACGGCAAGACGTGGAACGGCTATAGGTGCCAGTACGACTGCGGTAAGGAAGCTTACTACAACAAGCACGAGAAAGCCTGCGTGTGTAAGAAGCAGGGTCAGGTGTTCGACCCTGCCACCAAGGGCTGCGCCTGTCCCGAGGGCAAGACTTGGAACGGCCATGAATGTAAATACGACTGCGGCAAGGAGGCTTACTACGACAAGGGCCAGAAAGCCTGCGTGTGCAAGAAGAAGAGCCAGGTTTTCGACGCTGCCACCAAGAGCTGCGCTTGCCCCGAGGGTAAGACGTGGAACGGTCACGAATGCAAATACGACTGCGGCAAGGACGCCGAGTACAACGAGCACAAGAAGGAGTGCAAGTGTAAGAACCGAGCCATGACCTACAACCCAGACAACAAGAGCTGCGCCTGCCCCCACGGCAAGATGTGGGATGGACGCGGGTGCGGGCATGGGCGTTCCCAGTGAGGGAAGCACGCCTTGGCAGTCATGGAGACAGCCGGTATCTGGGTGTGCAGAAGCGAATGGGGAGATTAACGCATTTGACACAGAGGAGATGTGTGGCACTGTTAGGGTTGTTGGTACACGTATCACGGATTGCCGTGGTCTCACTTGAGGCGCCGATCTCCTTACCAGTCTAGTTTCTAGTTTTGCTCTTGTCCTCACTCGCTCGAGTAATTAATCAATCGTCTGTTTTTATCGTCTCCATGGATATACAAATCGGGCACATTGTGACCGGGCTGCCTCTGGACAAGTACCTATTTTTGGTAACCGTCTGCATGGGGAGTGTGCGGTACTGGAGCATACCGGTCTGTGCGCACTTGTATCACGGGGGCGTCTGAGCCAGCCCAGCAGTCCATGCTCGCCTTGTCCACACTCCAGCGCATCGTCAGCTGCTTCTCGTCGGGCGACCCCGCGTTCTGCGCGCAGCGGCTCGTCCGCGGCGCCAGGATGAGCTTGGTGACCTCGAAGAGGTTGGCGGGCCTCATGGCGGGCCTGCGCCCAAAGAAGAGCTTGATAGAAAAGACGAGGGCGATAAGGGTGGAAAGGGCCGGCAAGGTGAGCAGCACGAGGATCCACGCGTCCCCCTGTACGCCGAAGCTGTTGTAGTACGAGATGGCGTCGACCTGTGCCGCCATGGGCACGGTGTCGGTCCGGAGCGTGAACGACACTATGCCTGCCGAGAGCAGCCCCTGGACGACATAGGTCAGCACGTCCTCGATCCCGGGCGCCTCGTATAGTGTGGACGTGATCCGGCTCTTGAGCAGCCAGCCCATGCTCTGGCCATTCTGCTCCGGCGGCACGAGCAGCGCCGCGATGTGCTCTGCGAGGATCATACCGGTGCTCGTGGCGTTATTATGCGGGAGGAGCGTGTTGGGGTCCGCGTCCAAGCCGCTACAGAGCCCCGCGTTATCGGCCTCGTAGGGGGCGGTCAGCGCGACGTCCGCGTCGCCGACGCGACGCCACGACACGGGTGAGAAGCGGAACGGGTCCTTCCTGACGAGATATCGCCCGGAGACGAGCGGATATAGGTCAAGGCGGGGAAACGTTCCCGACACCTTGCTTTCCAGGGCAAGCCAGTCTGTCCAGTCCATGGACGCAAAGATGACGGCAAAGTGCCCCGAGTCAAGCTTAACGGTAGCGGCGTTGGCCGGCTCGTCAATGGTCCATGTCGCAGAGGCACCCCCACCGTAGCCCTCGAGGGCCGGGTCGTCGAGCTCAAAGGTGGCGCTGTCGCCGAATCTGCTCGCCTCGAAATTCGAGATGGCGCCACTCTCGGTCGTGTACCACTGGCAGCTGATGGCGTCCTCCACAAAGGTCTGGGCGTAGGTGGTCACCTTGTCGTCGTTAGCTATGTCGCCGTAGAAGGGGGCGTAGCTGGCCACGTCATAGGGCGCGCCAAAGGCCGTCCGGTGCTGGTAGATGAGGCCGCCCCGTCTGCCGTCCGAGAACTTGGCGGCGGGTCGCGCCAGCGAGTTGTAGATGACGTCGAGCCTGTCAAACGACTCGACGGCGTCCACCTTGGGGTAGTACGTCCGCAGATTCGAGACGGCCATTGAGTTGTAGAACCCAGACAGGGACGATGACGAACCCTCTCGGTAGTACGGCAGGATTTCGCCGTCCACGGTGCGCTGGTCGAGATAGGCGCCCGTGACGTTGAGGCTGACCTTGTCGTAGGACGCGGTGGTGTAGACGCCGAACTGGGTGCTCAGTATGGCGGCGCCCACGGCGGCGTTGATGAGCACTGGGGTGTACCGGTTGGGCAGGCCGAGCAGCGAGCCGGTGAGGGCCGACCAGCTGCGGTTGAGCTTGCCTGCCGGCAGGCCGGCCTGGAGGCGAAGGGCGAGCGAGGTCCATCTCGAGGACGCCCTTGGCGGTGTCCGCCAGCCCCAGCGTCAGGACCGAGGACAGGACGGTGATGACGAACTTGAGGGCGCCAACGGTGAAGGCGCTCGGGGCGGACACAATGTGCTGGTTGAAGCCTTCGACAAGGAGGGGGTGGACGTGGAGGTACGCCAGAACGGCCGCGACAATGGCCCAGTAGACGGCGGCGTAGAGGCAGAAGAGGAGCAGTCGGAGGCGGAGGCGACCTGGGCTCGTCCAGTCGCGCTTCCTCGTGGACACTGGCCGTGCGTCGGCCGCGTCCACCTGCTGCATCATGGCCATTGTGGGTTGGGGCCTTTGCGGTGTCACTCGTGGATCAAATGCAATCGGAGAGTCGTGGTGTTGACGTCCCCAGGTCAAGTCACGAGTGGGAGATTGGATAATTTATTAAGCTCCAGTCCTTCCCGCGCCGTAGAGTCTGGACACTGCGGCTGAGACTCCAAGTCCGCAGCTGAATCGTGGCCGCCACGCCAAGGCCCGGGTGAGCCTCATCGCGAATTGGACGGCCGCAGACGGCGCGATTGTGGTCATGTGGAGCGACTATTGCTGCGTTGGAGAGTCGAGAACGACAGGCACCCACGAATTCCCGCGTTAGCGCTCTGGCATCACAGCCTAGTCGGCTTGGCGGCAGAGATCAACCGTTGATCGTCAATCGCGTCTGATGCAGTCTTGAGTCTTGACCAGGCTCTTGCGTACATGGCCAGAGCGGGAGTCGACGGGGTGTATCTCCTGGGACCGTTGGATGGAGCTGGCACCATCCAGGCGAGGGACATGAACAATTATCGTGCCACAGTTCTGAACAACGTTCAGGCGTCCGTCAGACACCGACAGCCACGCTGACCCGTGCAGAGGACATTTTTGCCACACTCGAGGGGGAGAACTCGACAAGGTCAATGAAAGTGTTGTATCAAACATCTAGGAGGCCCGCTGCCTTGTGAGCCGCCGCTCCGCTACTGCGAACGCTTCGGCGTACTTCTCATCTTCCTCGATGATATCGTCCCTGCTACATGTACCCAGGTCGCCCAAGCTGAAGCCTGCGGCGACAATTCTCCCCGACTCGTGCTCCGACGAACCGAGCATAACACCTTTACTGTACGTCGTGTCGGGAAGGAGCTGGACCTGGGTCAACGCAACGGAATCCTGACTTGCCGACTGCCGGATCCATTCGGCATCCAACCTCTGCCATTGCGCTGCCCAAATCCTTGCCTCTGGCATCTCAACCTGTCGCCTCAGCAATCGCGAACCGCCCATCCCGACTGAGCCCCCCACCGGGACCCCCGAGAGCGCCGTCACCAGCTCGGCGCCGATACCCAGCTCCACTCCGGGCTCCCGGTGGTGGAGCTGCGACAGCGACGCCCCCTCGAACTCGTAGAAACCCGTGAGGAGCCAGATCTGCGGCCTCCGGAGACCGAGTAGCGCTTTGTGCAGCACGTACCGGCTGCTCGCCACGGTGCACCACACTGCCAGTTTGGCGCGCACGTCTTGATTCTTGGCCACGACGTCCTTGAAGAATCTCGTGGAGCTGGTGACTGGCCATTAGCACTGCTCGATGGAAATCAAGTTCGGAACTGGAGACGCACTCCTTGAGCATCACGCGCCGGCCCACTCGTGCCGTAACGACCTTATTTGTCGTCCCACTGAACCGCACGCTCACCTCTCCAGCCACAGGCACCTGTAGGCCGACGACAAAATTGTCCTCGCTGGCTGTCTCGAAGGCGCAGTTGGCCGGTGTGATGTCGGTCCATTCACGGATTTGGTCCTCACTAAATGCGGCACGAGTTCAGTGGCTGCAGTACGTACTGTGTGGCGGTTCGAGAGCGTGGGAAGCTGACATACGTAATCTCAGGGGCGCGGATGTTCCGTGCCAGAAGAGGATTGGCGTAGTCCTTAAGCACAAGATGTCCTAGCGACAGCTGATCGGGGGGGTGGCCGATGCTATAGAGGTAGAAGGTTGGTTGCTCCTCAAAACCCATGGTCGCCGCTCTCTTGTGAGGCTTGAGGATTGGAAAAGAAAATGAGCAACGAGAAGCCTCTGCTTTTTCTATCTGTTGATGAAGGCTGACTTTTGTGATAGAAGCACCCGCGTCAAGCGTACGCTATTCATATGTGAAGGGGCCATGACAGTCAGCTGACAGATATCAAGCCCTTCTCTGCCGTTCTGCATGCTTCATGCAAGCCACCATGTCTTTGACGCTCCATCACCTCAGTGATATTCGTCAGCAAAGACCGCCATGCAGGTTGCAGCATGTAGTCGACTTGTCGCCCACCTTCTTCCGACGATTCCTGTCTCCTCTTGATCTAGAGAAAGTCGTAATTCACCCTGACGATGGAGTTCGATCGTATTCTCGACGTGTTTGGCGGCTGTCTATGCCCAGAGGAGTACCGCAGGAGCTTCGATGACATTGAACAGAAGATTTCGGATATGGACGCGAATTCCAACGACCACCTCCTCTTAAGAGCAGTCTTCGCTGCGATGAAGGGCAACTTCAAGGCCTCCGACGACTGCTTTCAAAAATTGCGCACTCTGGGATGCTCTGAGGTCTTTCGCGCGCGCGTTAGCCATTACGTCTTCTTCTGCAAACAGATGGCCCGACACCCGCCAGCGCTACGGTTTCGAGAGGAGATGGGCTCTTTTACAGCCATTATCAATGAAACTCGTCTGGGGATCGCGGCAGCGACGCAAGACATGCAGTCCTCTCGACAGGGCGTAGAGTTGTCGCCACTCCAAACCTTGGAGTGTGACATTCTGGAAGCATTCTGGCAAATCGGGTGTTTCTGGCCCAAACTTGGACGCATGAACCACCCATTTTACCCCGATACTGCTCTCGCTATGCGGTCAAGAGAGATCGCGAAAAGCTGTTCTTTCGACAGCCTCCGAGTCTCGGCCACTCGTGCTGGGAGGGCCGGCCTCTACGACCTCGAGAGGCATTGTCATAATCTCGCTCTCGAATGCTACTTTGGGCATCACGCGTGTGGGCGAGAAGACGCAAGAGCCGCTGCCGACAGTCTCCTGGCCAAATGCCGAGAGACCCACGATCGTGTCGGGATCGCACTGTCCTATATCCGGCGTGCAGACGCATTGCTTTCCCCGCCGTTCACAAATCCTATTGCGCTGAACTTCATCCTCGACGGGATGTTGTCCGGCTGGGACGTTCCGGATTGGGATCCGGTCGAAGCCTCTTTCCGCCTTTCGTCGAACGAGGACGCCGTCCAGCTTTATTGCAGTGCCATGAAAGAGATGGAGTATGCCGGTTCGACCCGCGGCCATGGACTTGTTCATCTCCGACTGGCTTGCATTGCCGAGTGGAAGGGGCTTCACGATGGAGAGCGAGGCCGGCCGCCATCGGGCAACCAAATCCTTGAGGAAGCTCGGCGCCATCTCGACCTGGCTCGCCACTGCTACCAGGATGATGTGACCAACAGCCAGATTGTCGCAGTCCATGGCGTGGTGCTGGATATCCTATCCTGGAAGCACCCAAACGCGCTGCAGTCCGCGCGAAGGATCGGACAGGACAGTGCCAGCCACGGCAACATGGTCGTTGCACAGTTTGCTGGCATCTTCTTGCTACGCCTCGGCCGATATTTGCATCAGGACCTGGCTGCCACCGAGACGGCTGTCATTTGCTGCCAATGTGCCCGCGAATGCTTCGGGGGTGCCGGCGAGACGTTCCTTGAGCTCCAGGCCGTGCTGTCAGAGATCACAGCTCTAGAACAAAGCTCCGAAAGGGCCGCAATCTGCTGCACGACAGCCCAAACACTTGTGAAGGCGACTCTCGAGCAGTTCGAGGGGTTCGGCGACCTTGGCAGAAAGCTGCAAGTTCAAATGCTTTTGCATGCCAGCAAAGTCATTCGGGGTGCGCTGCACGCCGACTACAAACGCCTGGAGTCCTGGAACCGCGACTTCCACAAGTACGAGTCGGATCTGGGCCTCTACAACACGATGAGAAGCGTCTTGTCGGACTCCTCCACCAGCACGGGAAGCCCCCTCGAGAACGCCGTGCGAAATGTCCAACAAGCGGACGAACTTCAAGCAAGGTACGCTCAGGTCCAGCAGTGCTACGACAGAGCCTTGGATCAGTGTGAGGTTGAAGAGGCAGAGAACTATTGGCGCGAATTCCTTTGTGAGCTTGAAAACCGAGAGGAACACCTCGCATGTTTCATGAGATTTGTGTCCCTCTGTCACTTGGGCGAGGCTGCCGCAGCCAAGGACATTCTGGAGTCCCTACTCCCGCCCGCCTACGGGGGACACGGCAAACGGAACGACTGGCAGTATACTAAGTACACATGGTCGGGGAGGAATTCTCGGTTCTTTCAGGAGGGTCTAGAGCAGGACCGGACGGCTGAGATTGAGTGGACACAATTCGAGTCCAGCCTGCAGTACGTGAACTTGGCTGCCGACTGGGAACGAGGCAAGCAGGTTCTAGAGGTCGCTGCTCGGCGCCATATCCTCCCACTCAAACCCGATAAGCAAGGCATCTTGGACTGGCAGATTGCAAGCAAGGTCGCTGCGATATACGAACACACCGGGTCTCAGATGCGTGCATTTCAGGAATACAGCGCGGCGCTGGATTCTCTGGAGCGAAGGATCATTGGACTCTCGGACACTTCTTCTCGTCAGAATGCCCGTTCGACAATCCACACGAGCCTGCTATACGAGGGACTCGCGCGGACCGCCTTGTACTTTTCCCAGCAACATGAAAGCTCTTCACCGGTGCTCGGCGCTATTCCTCCCATTCAAGGAGACGCAGACTGGAAGGCGAAAGCACTTGAATTCCTGGAGCGAGGCCGAGCAAGGGCACTGTTTGATCTCATTGTCGCCCAAAGACATCTTAGTGAGCTTGACAAGGATCTTCTTCAGCAATGGTGCGAGAAGGAGTACGCCCTACGCAAGCTCCTGGAGGCGCAGAAGGGGGTCTTATCCGCTGACGTCGATGAGTTCAAGCGAGAAGAGGCCCTCGCCCGTTCTGCGCTCGAGTCCCACGCGCCCGATATTTCCAAAGTGTTAGCCATGAACCGATTCCACCTTCCTGTCGAGGAAGTCTTTCGGCAGCTCTAACCCCGCGAGGTTGTCATTCATATCCACCTCTCTCGACATGGACTCATTCTCTTTAGCATCACACACAAGGGCATCAATCTTGTCCATCAGAGCGAAACCAGGGACATTGACGTACGGCGTTTGGCCCTCTCGTACAATCGATGCTTGAGGAGCTCGTTGGGGCCGAGGTCATCGCCAGAAGAACTCGCCACCATCTCGGCGAAGCTTGCGGACATTCTGCTCGTGCCCTGCTCGGACATACTGGAAGGCAAGGACCATGTCATCTTTGTCCGTGCCGCGGCTCTGGAGGGTTTCCCGCTTTCCGCCCTCCAGCTGCGCGGGAAGCCTTTGATGCTCACGCATGCCGTGTCCGATACCCCCAGTCTCGCTGTTCTTCATACGCTCACGCAGACAGCCAAGGACCGCGCCAAGGCGAGCAACAAGATTAGCATCATTGCCGACCCGCATCGCGACGGGACGCGAGGGGACATGGCTCTCATGGTGGGAATAGGCGCCCTGTCGCTCGCCAGCAGATACGAGACGGAAGCGCAAAATCCCCAAAGCGTATCCAGTGAGGCGTTCCGCTCTCAGTTCCAGGAGTCGCAGATTGTGCATATCAGCACCCACGGCAAGGTGTGCCTGGACGCGCCGTGGCAGTCGTCTCTAGCGCTGCAGGAAGAGTTCAAAGTCGTAGATCTCCTCCGGCTGCAATCCAAGGCCTCGCTCATCGTCTTCGCCGCCTGCGTTTCCGGGCTCGGTCGCACCACATCTGGCAACGACGTGACCGGCTTCTCGCACGCCGTGTTGCAGTCCGGCGCCAGTGCATACATTGGCGCACTGTGGTGGGTAGACGACCTGGCAACCATGGTGCTCATCTACGTCTTCCACAAGCAGCTCTGGTCGAATGGTGACGTCGTCAGTGTCGCAGAGTGCTGGCGTAGGGCGCAGGAGACGCTATACCGAGCGAATACCGCCATATTCGGTGACCTGCTCCGGGAAGTGCGTGAGTCGATCGACCAAAAGGCCGCCGAGGCGTTTAAGATACCGGACGCGAGGGGTCTCCTCGACGACGCCATCGAAGATCTGTATGATGAGGATCTCAGCCATCCTTTCTATTGGGCCCCGTTCACTATTGTTGGCTACGCTGGCCAAAGACTCAATGTGCAGTCGGCGTCGCCAGAGTCCATTATATTTCTCAATGGTCGTGAAGCGGGCGACAGAGATTGTGAGAAGGTTAGGTTGACGCCCCCGGGAGGCAGCCGTCGCAACTAAAACTGTCTTTCATTCTCGTGAATAGATGGCGATTTTAGGGGTAGTCTTGGAACAATAAAGTATGATGGCTAACTTTTACTAGATAGGAGACGGGGCTGCATTCCGACGTTGCTCCCCTTGGTAGTCTGGATGATGAATTCCAATCGAAAGTTACGCCAGCGAATTACCAGCAGCGGGAAATTACTCCTTCCTATGACGAGACCCTAGATAATCTCGGTCTTACATTGACTAGATATCCCAGCGACTGCACAATGTGAGATGAAGACGACACGTCCGCCAACTGACATGCGTAGCACATCTTCCGGAACCGTGATGTGGCGTTTTGCATGAGCAACATGCACACCAGCCACGCTGTGCGTCCTGGAGGCGATCGATACAATGGGCGATTCCATTAGGCGGGGCATCAAAAAGCCTGATCAACGGTTAACGTGCCGAAAAGGCGCAATCATTTATTAGTACTACTTGCAGCACTTAGCCAACCAATATTTCGGAAGTATCTAGACGTACTTAGTCACAAGGGCGCTCCCGAAAACTAACGAACACTATATAGCAGAAATCGTGGAGTATAATAATAAACACACATAAGGATCTATTATGCCAGGCGGTCTAGACCAAAAGAATAATTATTAGCTAACTATATAACCCGTCTTAAAATTATATCTCTCTCGCCGAAGCCCTTAAGCTATAGTATCAGTCTATTTCTAGCTCTTTGCTATCACTTATCCGCCTCCGCTCTCCTCGAGTGGCGAATTTGACCAACGAGCGGACAAGGGCTAGTTAGTGGTGTGTTTTCTTCGAAGGCATTCTAAGGTTCCTAGCCAGCACCCCAAGGAGGTAAGAGTCGTCGCTAGACGCAATCATACTAAACTCAGCATTGATTTTCAAGAGTGACAATTCACAGACTGCACACGCATCTTGAATTGTGATATCCGCAGATACGATACCCTAGCGGAAGCTTGAGCCTGGATTTTCCTGATAAGGTCTCGTGGGAACGTCATGCCCAACTTGTGGTGCTGGACCCCGCGCGGAAGCATGAGACAGGCACTATGCGGTACGTTAGAGCTTGAACTGAACGTTTCAAGACTCATTAGGGTGCATTATTGACGAATAGCTACTATAGGACCTGGTCACGACATGCGGCCTGCATTGTGCATTGTCGTTCGTCTCTGAGGCATGAGAGCTGGATTTCAGGGAGTCCGCGCAAAGGTGACTTGTAGTAGAAGGGGGGAAACGATGAGCATCACGGCGAACTTCGTACATTGCCTTGGATCAGCATTAGCGCCACCTGACATTCAAAAATCCCTTTCTTCCCCGCCACGTATTTCCGCTTTTGGTGACAGCGTTCTTGCTGACCACAGGCATGTGGCACCCTGGACGTCCCTTCTGACCACAGTTGTGTGGCCATCCACTCCTGCCTTGCTTGCTATTGACCACATATATGTGGCACGTCTTAGACCGCCACACAATTTGGGAGCCCATAGGTGCACCCGTACGGGTGCATGTAAGGCTTACGTAACGATGCACCCGGGCGGGTGCAAATAAGATTCCTATTATATCAGCCTTGCCAGGTCCCCCTGTCCGTGCTAATAAGCGGTGTAGTCGCTCATCTATAGATATTAGATACTCATGAATCGATCCATGATATCCTCTTCCGCTTAGTTACTACACGTTTTGTCGTTATCTTAGGATGAACGAACATACGCCGCAATTTCCGGATAACTATCTTCCTCCAGAAGACAGCTATAACTCACGACAGGAGCTACATACAGCGATCAATACTTAGGCATCGTAACGAGGCTATGCCTTTATTACAAGAAGGTCAAGAAAGACAAACAGCGGCAGATAACGAGTTATCTTTATATACGATCGCGGCGCAGGTCGCACCCCTGATCCTTTAACTATACGACAACGGCTTATAACTTCACGACGTACTAGCTGCCAGTTCTCCGTCATTAGAATAGGAGATATAAATCGAATTACCTGGACTCTTGCGCATCGCCTAGACCCCTAATTCGCTATCCACAACCACGAACCAAGTTATAATAGGTCTACATATCCTATTCATCGTTAACTCTCACAGGCAGATAGGTCAACTGTTCAAGACCTATCAAATACTGGAGTCGCGCCAAAAGAGATCAGGTCATACCTTCGTAACCACTTAGATACAATTGTAACTCAGTAAGACATCTATAACTATATTGCATAAGGTAAGCGAGACCTCTTAAAAGGCTAAAGTAATATATATGCTCTTACGAACGAGCTCGAAAATAAGGGCTTTTGGAACCGAATGCGGCTAGACGAGGATAACCGAGTTACCTCTGTCTTATTCGCCCATCCTAAGTCCCTAGAATACCTTAAATCCTATCCGGACTTACTTATATTAGACTGCACATATAAGACAAACAAGTACAAGATACCCCTTCTCGATATAGTTAGGGTTAACGCTTATTAGCGATCTTTCTATATCGCCTTCGCCTTCCTTAGTGGCGAGGATAAAGTCGACTATACTTAGGCACTTGATCGGCTACGGTAAATATACGAGAGCTATGGCGCGAGACTTCTATCTATTATACTTATAGATCGTTACCTTGCCTGTATAAATACAGTATCGCAATACTTCCCACAAGCGGCATCTCTTTTATACCTCTGGCATACAAATAAGGCTATTACTCGTTACTACCTCGCAAGCTTCACCCGTGGCGATAACGATCAGCCTCAAGCTTAAGGCCTTAAGAAGTAGCAAGAGTTCTATTAGCATTAGCATTAGATTATAGCTTCAAGTACTAAGGATATATTTAAAGATAATCTTAATAAGCTTAAATAGCGCTACGTCCTAGTCTATCTTAGAGAGGTTAGTTATATTATAGAGACCTGGCTTAATCTCTATAAAGAGAGGCTTATGAAAGCTTAGGTTAATAGATACCCTTACTTCGGCAATATTGTCACCTCCCGGAGTAAGGGTATCCACGAGCTTATCAAGCAACATCTAAAGACCAGTTAATTAGACCTCTTCGAGGCCTAGAGGTCTATTAAGCGTGCGTTACTCAATCAGATCGCCGAGCTACACGCGAATCAGGCTAAACAGAGGATACGCACGCCTCTTGAGCTAACTAAGCCGCTATACGCTAATATACGTAGATAGGTATCTCACGAAGCGCTACGTAGAGTCGAAGAGTAACGGAAACGATCCCTTAATAATATTCTCCCTAGTTATATAGGAGTATTTAAGTTATCGAACGGTCTTCCATACGCTCATACGCTCCAAACTCTTCGTTAACAGGAGATACCTCTTCGATTACGGCACTTCTATACGCATTAGTACCTTCATCGCGAGGGATCTCCTCACTTACTAATAGAGCCACGCCGGCTATTCGACCGGGTTATAGCTAGCTCAACATTACCAAGAACAAGCACTCGGCGTAAACCCTACGTATTTAAGGCTATTAAGCAAGCGTCATAAACAAAAAAAAGGACCAAAGTAAAGCCAATATACATAAGATACAATCAGCAAGGCCACATAAGAAGCTCAAAGGCGTGTACGTTACGATATACGGATCTCATACCATTATCAACCGCAACGCTATCTTAAGAGACTTCAGCTTTAGCTTCAGCTCGGCCGCCGGAACTAATATCAGTGTTAACACTAGCGCTAGAACTACCCTCAGTACCAGCGGTGGCACTGGATCATAATCCACTTATATCGCCGGCGCCGGCGCCGGCAATAGGTTCAACTATACAGCCAGTAATGCCGCCAGATTCGCTCCTAGCTGCGCAGCTACAGCCACTCTCACCGAGTGTCGTTTTACTATCCTCATCACCAGCGCCGAGGCCAGAGCTAGAGCCGGAGGTACCGCACTATCACCCTTGTGCTATATATTAACGATATATTACAGCGCGAGAGGCTTGGTACAAGACGCTACCTCGAGGTGATTTAAAGACAAACCAGCAATATCGAAATACAATAGGACTACCTCAGCGATATAGCAAGAAGGACTATAACTAGTGTTTAGATTATAAGCAAATAGGCACACGATACACAGAGAAGAGACCTATCCGGGACTAGACTAAAGAGGAACAGATGGCATATCTAGATTAGACTATAGCAGAGGAAGCCCGGGTTAAAGCGCAGGTTGAAGCTTAGATAGCAGAAGAGATAGCTACTGGGCGGTTTTCACGTAGACGAGGTATAAAGGATGTCTAGGAGGTAGCTGAGAGAGATAGCGAAGAGCAACAGGCATTATATAGAGGCACCTAAAGAATATAGTCGAGTGTATATATAAGTAAAAGACTATAAGGCAGTTGATGTTATTATGGGACTAAGTAGCTATCTAGCCTCGTAGCGTAGCCGATTTACACGGAGGCGAGGCTTTTATAGCTTACACGCGCTGCATGAGGCGCATCACGTGACACTTATTTGCACCCGCCCGGGTGCACCGTTACGTAAGCCTTACATGCACCCGTACGGGTGCACCTATGGGCTCCCACACAATTTGATTTCATTGGCTAAGCAGCTTTGCCCTGGCTTGAAGTTTGGGCTTCCGGCCACGGACTGTGGCATCCCATCACATTGGTCGATGGACGTGTTCAGGGGCGTAGCCTGGCTAACTCGTTTTAGAATTTGAGCCTTCTCCTGATTTGTCCGACGGGTTGGTCCGTCAGATTAGTTCCGTCGCCCGGCAGCATCTCAGGCCCGCTTGACGTTGGCTGCATGGCTGCAGTTCACTAGGCCGATGATATATCGTTGACCGAAAGCGAGATCATCATGTTCACGGGGAAAGAAATTACCAGGTACCTCTATGCGTACAAATATGAGAGTTTGTTCGTCCTCTGCTCGAAGAAAAGTCAAACACTGCAGTCTACACCTTCAACGTTGACTGTTCCGATCGCAAAGATTTGCCTCTGCCTCATCACAATATGCCCAACAAGCCAAAAGGGGAATCAGTTTCTCCCAGGTCACCAGACCGAGCCGGAGAGTCATTGACTTCTTCGCGAATTGCTCC